ATAATGAATATTAAATTCATTTCCCTCCAAAGGACCATAGTGTCATTCTATTCTTCTATTCTTACTAATTAGTCTTAAACACAATTTCCTAAATCATTCCCTATACTTTTCAATCTACCCACTTTAACCCACCAAAATTTAAAATACTTTTACTCTGGTCACCGACCAGATATTTGGGGTATTACAATACATACCTAAGGCCCAAAGGCCACATAACACTGACATCGCTAATCCACTCCTCGTGAGTATTCGGGCCTCGTGTCCTAGTTTGCTCCTAAAGTGCTTGGTTCATTGACAATTCCCCACTAGGGTAACTAAGGTAACTTGGATATATCGTAGCATAGCTGGACTCACTAAAGTAAGGTTATTCTTTCACTAGTTGTTATCTCATATGTTATCTCATTTAGAGTGTTGTACAAAGGCTTATTAGTCTGTTACTTTTGTTATTTATTAAGCTGCTATATTCTAGTCGTTCGTTACTTAAGGATGCTTTAGTCACTCTAACTCAAGAAAAGTCTCTTCGTGTTTCGTGATTCAACGATGGTCACTAGGTCTGACTTACTTATTGTACCATTTTTCAATATATCCTTCGTAGCAATCCTCATCCTCAACAGTCTGTATACATCCTCGACTGAATATATTTTAGCGTATTACGCTTAGTATGGTTACAACTATTATAACCCACTCCTATGAGTGTCTATGGGCCCCTTTGGCCATTTACATTCCTCACATACTATTTCTTACTATTACAGATGATCCTTAACCCTTACAGGTTTTAACCGGGTCAAATCTAGCCATCCCAAGTGAGTAGTATCGATACTCTACTTCCAGTATCGATACTCTAGGGCCAAGTATCAATACCCCTATGAGTATCGATACCAAAAATACATTTTGTTGTTGAAAAAGGTGCTAAGTATCGATAATGCCACCCTGAGTATCGATACTGCTACTCCCCTGGCAATATGATACTCCCAGCCCAAATCCTTAATTTTTGCCCCGATTATTCCAATATCGATACAGTTCATCCCAGTATCGATATTAAAACCCTAAAATAGTTATTTTAAGCTTAGAAAATACTATAAATCTCACTAAAGGCCATGGTTTGATTTTAAATCATGTACTAATGATGTGTGTAGTTATTTAGGGACTTAAGGTGTCATAATGCACATGCTTTACAACAAATTCGTGATTTATGGCATGAATCAAATGTAAAACCCTAAAATACTAACCTACACAAATCTTAGTAAGTTATTGAAATTTATGAAAACTTTGTACTCCAAAGGATTACAAATACACTACATTGATATTGGAATCCTGAAATAAAGCTCTTTTAAACACCAAACACCTCCCTCTAAGGCTTGGATGACAAAACCCCAATTTTCTTACAATCAAAGTACCCAAAGCTTTGCTTTATAATAATGATGTCTATAGATGAATTAGGAATGAAATTGAAGTAGGAAAGATGCCCAAAAACTTACCTTTTAGCTAAGATGTTTAAGAGGAAGTATGGAGAAGAAATGATAGAGAAATAAAGAAGAAGAATAAGAACAAATTGAAGAGGAGAGAAATAGAAATAATATATAAAACCCGCATCTTTACAAAATGAGGATATTATGCTTTTGGTCATTCCATTTCTTTGTACTATTCAAAAACCCTCTTTTTATGGTTAATTAGGCCCAATTCAAGCTTAATTAAGCCCAACTCAGCCTAACGACTTTACTAATGAATTTAATGCGGTTCACTTACATATTGGGTAAACCCAAAACTACTAGCCCAAAATTTGGGGTGTTGTACTCCCCTCATTTTAAAAAAATCATCCTCGAACTTTACTCGGTCCAAACAATGACACATTCTTAGGTCAAACACTTAGAAATCTCAAAGCATCTAAACTCATATCAACTTGCTCCTCACTGAATAAGTCCTTACATGACTTGCAACTCAACAACTTACATATTGATCTATAACCATTGTTCTTATTGGGTGCTAATTATGTCAATCTTGAAGTAACCACTTTTAAGAAGGTGAAAAGCATTGAGTCTTACTTTGGTTGTCCTAACTCTGAATACTTTGAACATTTCGCAGGGAGAACACTACTCTACTACTCAACTGCTATCACTAAATCCTTCTATGGTGAACCTTACTTAATCGAGTTAACTCACTGCATAAACCGAATACCTCTTTTATCTGCTGAACGTAAATAAATCATCATGTTACACCCTGAGATCTTTGACAGTTGCCAACACTTTCTCGATATAGACTACTAAATATATGATGATAAGTCTTGACTTCTTAACATTGAGCTCTACGCTTCTACTATGTAACTCTGATTTAATACTCATCCACGGTATCTGACTGTTTCTCATTTGCCTTGCAGTTTATATACGCACTACTAGTTTGGTCGAGCACCTAAGGTGCTCACAACTAGGACTCAACCACTTACCGTGCGAAACTAACAACATTTGACTCTCCTGAAGAGTACACATCACAAAACGAATGTCTATGGCAACCGCACACTGATGAAGGATTATGAGATTCTACATTTGACACTCACTATCTCCTAGCACTAATGAGTTATTCGTTGACAACTAATACTGGTAAAATGTAGCTTAATGTACTTGATATCTTTTAGTCTGAAATAATAAAAACTATGGTATTATACTACACTGCATGCTTTCATGTGTTGTATATAAATCATGCTCATATACAAACACAAAGGCATCGTTGATGGGGCTTGACTCACTTAGTTGATTATATTACTATTCGTGCATGAATGCATACTGGTGAAATTAGAGGGATATCTACACCTCAAGACTCGCAACTCTCTACTTGACCTATACCACTCTTATTACTTAGGGTAAAATTCTAGAATATTACACCAAAATATACACCCCGCAAACTTACTCCTCGAGAGTACTTGGGGCCAGGGATTTAAAGAGCGTCCGCAGTCACGTTTTCAATTGCGTCGCGTTTATCACAGTTGCAGACATAACAGATGCCATCGATGTCATGAATTTTTTTTAAATTTCACACAACTTATCCTAAAATATAATAATTATAATTATAATTATAATGAGTCATTTTAATGATTTTTAGAATGTTAATATGACATATATATAATATAGTTTAACCAAATATAAAATTTTAAAAACCCGATAATAGAATAAGATAATTAATGATGAGTGATGACATTGAGAATACATTATTATTTAAAAGAAGTAAGATGTATAATATAATTAAATAATATAAATTAAATAATTTAATTAACTATTTACTTGGATTCATTTGATTCCAAGCTCTTTGTGTTTGTTGAGTACCGAATGTCTCGTGTTTACTTCGAAATAGTAACAACTGCATAAACAAAAGTTTACATTCTAAAGTGATGATTAAATTATAAATTATAAAAGATAAGGATAACAAATTGACATATCCCTTAAAAATATATTTTAGAATTTATTTAAAATATATAAAAGGGAGGAAATGGGAGTCGGAGTAGCCAGCGAGAGTGGACGACCCAAACTATTACCTTTTGTTTTTTGAGTTAAAACCCAAACATAACATGATAAAAGAAAATTCTTGAAGCTTTTCTCTCTAATTCTCTCAATCGTCTAGTTCTCTCCAAGTATAAATCTCCCCATCCTCAACCTTTATGTGAATTCTCTCCAAGTTCAAATATCCCTATTCTCAACCTTCCATTTTAATATAATTTTATCGAGCGTCCACTCGACCATATTCTTCGGTGGTGTCACTGTCTGATAATAAACACGATCGTCCAAGTTTCTTTTACCAGTTGCTTTTTGGGTGAGAATTCCAATTGTTTTTTGGGTGATAATTCTAACTCTTTTAAGTTTTTTTGCAGCAATGATTGAAAAACAGTAATAGCGTCTCATTATCGGTGCTATCACTGTTACCCGTTAAATTACAGGCGCGACGGACCGCTATCGACGTGAATTTGTTGCCCATCGTTAAATTATTCGATATCAATTTTGGACGACACTATGACCGTGAAATAACGGCCGCTATTGCATTTGCGTCCTACTATTTAAAACTCTACTTGGGGCATCTGCACCCAGTTAGTAACTGAAGTGCCTTGGCACTGACTGAGGTATATCCTGATGTTTCTATCAACCTGGTGATTAGCATACCGACTTGGGCAATTGGGTGTTCTTAATACTCTCGTGGAGATCCTCATCTCCAATGCCGAATTTGGATGTCAAAATTCTCTGTGGGTCGACCACATGAACTGATAACTCTCCAAAAGAGTTATCTTTAGTAGCCTTTTTCACCTAGGTCTAGTTTGAACTTGAGCCTTTTTAGGAGCATTACATTTTGCATGTTATGAACTTTGTGGGTTGATAAGGACTAAATTTGATTTATGATGCCGTAAAATATTACATTGATGTCGTAGTTTGATAAAAAATAATTTAGCTCCTCTATCATATCATTATACATTGTAAACATCATATTAACACCATAGACTATCACACTAATATCTTAAATTATCACATTAATGTTATAATAATCAACATTCGATTTCGTTAATTAAAAAGCTAAATTAATATTTTTTAGTTTAAAGACTACATTTAGAAAAAAAAATCAATCATATTAGTTTGGCATAATGTCAAAAAAATATCTTTAGTATTTAATTAAATAGTTACTTTAATACCTATTTGATTTTTGGAACAATTTAATTCTTAACGTTTTATTTTAGAGCAAAAAGATTACTTTATGAATAAAAATTGTTGGTTAACAAATGATTAACGCTCCAAAATAAGAGTTTTTTTATCTTAAAATAAAACTAAGTGGGGGTAAAATATTTTTTAAAAAAAATAAAGAAATACTACTTAGTCAAATATTAAACATACTTTTACCCTACAATAAAAAATTAAGACTAAAATATTTTTAAAAAATAATTATTTTTATAAATATTATAGTTAATTTTGAGATTATACATATCCATTTTTATGAAATTGTTGTGGACAAGTGCTTCGAAACTTTAAGGAAAAAAATAAAGACTTGTTATAGAAGTGTATCTAAAGTTTCTCCCAGCCTCTCCAAAACAGATAAGGCAGCGTCTATCGCTACCGAGACTCCATACTAACACCATGGCCTCCCAAGTTCTCCCTCAGGTAAACCCTTAGCCCCTTCATCTTTTTCCTTAACTATCATCATTGATTTTCAACAATCTTTTACATTTCACATTCGATTTTGATTATTTATAGGCACTGCATATGTTCCCCATAAACCAAGTCAATTCATTTCATCCAATTAAGAACCAAGGGTTCTCTGCATTTCTGTCTCGTGGTCCTTCTCCATTAACCACTTCCAAGGTTTCAGTGTCTGGGTCTCATTTGAAATTCCCTGTCGGGTCCAGTCTCGGTTGTTTTGCTCGAAGGGATTTCATTGTGAGAGCAGAATCTAACCCTGAAGCTGAAGCAAATGAAAATGGTGTTGAAGAACCCGAAATGAGAGCTGAATCCGGAGAGGAAGGAGAAGATGAGGTTGAAGAAGAGAAACCCAGGGAGCCATATAAACTCCGGGCTAAACTTGGTGATATTATGGGGGTAATTTGGTTAATCTTTTACTGTACTTTATGTTTATAATGTACAGGGATGGACCTGGTGCGGATGGGGGCGCTCGCCCTTACGGAAAATTTTCAAATTCCTATATATTGTTTAGATATTTTCTTTGTATTTTTGGTCGAAAATCTGTTTGGTAATTAAAATTTTACAAGTTCGTCTTCCACTTAAAATTCTATAAGTTGGTCCCCTCAACATAAAATACTCCATCCCTGCTTATGTAGGAATCGAGAAGAGAATTAAACTTTTGGCTTTGTGATTTCCTTTTGAGATGCTTAAGTTGTTTGATAAAAGAGAGGACCTTTAGCCCAACTTTTTATTTAGATGGTTGTATCATTTCATAGAAAGAACTTAACTTTGTTCAGCTGGTTTGAGAATCTTAACACATTTGTGAATGAGAGTAGATACTGAATAAAAGAGCAATTGAAGCATCAGACAAGGAAAGGCCAATTCCAGATCTTAGGACTGGTGATATTGTAGAGATTAAATTGGTAATTGAGTTTCGCGTTATCCATACTAAATTCCTTTTTATCATGTGTTTTGATTGTTATTCTCATGCTTCCTTTGATTTACAGGAAGTTCCGGAAAACAAGCGTAGGCTGTCAGTGTACAAAGGTATAATCATATCTAAACAAAATGCCGGTATCCACACCACCATTCGAATTCGGAGAATTATTGCTGGCGTTGGAGTTGAGATTGTATTCCCTGTGTAAGTATTTCTTTTATAATTATGCCTAATTGTTATTTGTTACGATGACCATATGACCATTTCCTTCATTCGGTTCCAGTGCATTCGTTCATTTATTGGGCCTAATTAACCAACTAATGCATCATCTTGAATCTAACGAGAACTTATGGGAGCTAGATTTCTGAATAATGTTCTTGAATTTATAGAAGTCGTGAAAATAAATAAGAACGGAGAACGATTTTTGTAATTTCACTTTTATGAGTCATTCTAGTCCTAGATTTATTTACTTTTTCCTCCATTTTTCTGTTATTGGGATGGCTTTTTATTGCATTTGTGAAACTTACTTTGGTAGAAGCTGAGTTAGCCTGAATCGAAGACTAGTAATGGTGCAGACTAAACATTGTCTCACCATATTTGGCTAAAATCTTGGTTGATTTATGTTATGCATAATGATCTTCGTGTTTACATACATTTAATTTGCATTGTTTCATCTCCTCGTATCAAAGAAAGTCCTCAAAACTGTTAATTGTATACTTTTCATGTTTCCAAACATCATCCGTGAAGTCGTGCAGTTGTTACAATATCAGGCTTCTTTTGATGTTTTGTTGTTTGCCATGGAAGTCGAATTTCTTAATTTCATCTTTTGCTCAAATTTTCCCTGTATATAAATCTTCTTATGATGATTCAACTAATGGAATGCAGAATCATGTTTGTTGATCCATGTTTTATCACTTCTTAATTTATAACCGCAGTTACTCGCCAAACATAAAGGAGATTAAAGTCGTCAAACACCGGAAAGTGAGGAGGGCGAGGCTGTATTATCTAAGAGATAAGCTTCCCAGGTTGTCAACTTTCAAATGAGAGATTCCCTCCAAATTACAGGCAGTTTCTTAGTTGCATACATGTTGTAAGAGCTTTAATTCTATGAGTTGATCTCTTTTCCTTCTGGTGTAAGATATTGTCGAAAGCTCCGAGTTGATTTCGGCAACAACTGAGTCCACATCTTCAATTATCTACTGAATCATTTCAATCTTGCTATTTGTTAATACTCTTATCTTGCCTTCAAGCAAAGCTTCTTTCTTTAGTTATTTGCATTGTCCATATCATCAGCAGGAAAGAGAAAGCATTGGTTCAAAACAATGTTTTCCCCCCTCTCAATTGCAACATAAATGCTCATCTTCCATTTCAGTTTCTTAATGGAACATAAATGCTCATCTTCCACGTCAGCTTCTTAATGGAGTGTTGGATATAAATACGTGTACAAAGGCAACATCTAAATTGCCGCTTAGAAACACATACACCATGCATGTAGGTCCAGCTGTTCAAATTTATAACGTAAAAGGAAAATAATATTTTCTTTTATCACTTAAACTATGCGATGATTCAGTTTTTGTAAAAGCTAAACAAGCTTAAGGGCTGTATTTTCTTGAAGCTAGGATAAGGGAATCCTTAACTATTAAAAAAAGGGGGAAATGTTAGGTATTAATATTATGGTTAGCACAAGTGACGGTGAGAATTGAAAATTTTAAAGCTAATATTAAATTATTTATTTTATATAGGTGTAACAGTGGGGAAGTGTCGTAATGATACATCTCATGTATAAGAGTGTAAATAAGATGAGATAGATCTTGAATTGTTCGAGATTGATTTGGTTAAAATTTTGTCAACTCTTAAATTGAATGGACTTAACACGAATTCAAACTTAACTTGAATTCTTAATGAGTTGAAATGAGCTATTGTATACTTGACTCGAAAATTTCACGTGTAACTCGAAAAAATAATATATTAATTTTTAGATTTTTAAAATTAAATTGTTAATAATATTAGTATTTATATGTTGCTATTTTTAAAAAAAAATATAATATAAGTTATATGATCTTGATTGTGTTCCGAGTCATATATGAGTGTGCCAGATCGTGATTCTAGTAAGAACTCCACATTACTTTGAATGTAATCTGAAATTCGCAAATAACGTTGTAAAATAGAAATGGATAAATAAAATATGGAAGTGGAAAGATGAAAGATATGTTGAAATGGATTAGCAGCGTAGGAAGAGTGATGCTTGTGGTTAAGGAAAATAAAGGATGAAAAGGTTGGTGAAGATAGTAGAGAGTTGGTGTGTAGTATGAAGAATCTCAAGGAAATGGATTGTTACCCTTTAACTATATATGAGTTAGGAACCAACAATATTATAAGGTGGAAAGGTAGAAGTGGTAGGATATGGAATGTGACGCACTAGCTATAGATGAGCTTGGAACCAACGCTATAACAAAAGGAAATGGATGAAGAATACAAGACTATCTTAAATCCGATAAAGTTCTACAAGAGAACAAGAATGAAAGCAACCTCTCAAATATGTTTTATATCTTTAAATATGTGCCTACAAATGATCCCAAAGGTGTCTATTTATAGTGTTTATAAACAGCATATGAAAAGACTCAAAAGATGAAAATATTCTCATCAATTTAGCAATAAAATGCACTTGAATGCTTTTTCTTCTTATCTTCAAAGTTGGCTGAATATTCTAGATCATTTTGGGGATGAATCTAGACAATTTGAAGCTGAATTTGGCCTTAATTTCGTACAAGGGGTGGAAGACTCTTGTTATTCCATGCTGAAAATTGTCTTAACAAGTGAATTAGATCACCCTTCATTGCATGCTCCCTTGAAGAATATGAACAACCCTTGAATTTAGATGATAAAAATCAGCTTTGAATGCCTTGAATGGGTGAATTATAAGTCCTTCAATGGCTTTTCACTTGCTGGAGTTAAAAAGAGTCTCCCTTGGCTCAAACTCATCCAAATCATCCATGCATAAAATTCCCGTAACAAAATTATAGCCTGCACTGTCTTCAATAAATCGATCATATCTCAAGCTCCCGATATCGGATTAAGGTGATTCAAAAGGCGTTGGAAAGCAAAGAGATGGAGAAATAATTTCCAATTGATTTCTAGAACCAATCTGATAGTGAAATAGTGGCGGGTTAATGAACATTGCTCTAGTTGAAAAATCAAACCTAAAAGCTCTAGACTCGATGAAGAACAATGGGGAATGAATAGGGGAAGGTGGCGCCAGCATGTAGGGTTCTTAGGGTTTCTTTTAGGTGCTGGAAAAAGGGTAAGAAATAAGATTAGAACAAGATAAAAAAAGATAAAGAAATTGAAAATAAAGTATGATAACCTAGAAATCAAAAGACCTCCCTTATGAAGGTGAACGGTACAGATGATGATGGTGAGGATGGATTTGTGGAAAATAGATGGATAAGTGTCCTATCGAGCCCTCCTAGTCGCAATGAAAAGGCAAACACGATAATATGACTCTAACAACCTCCTAGTTGAGATGAAAAGGAAAATTGGAGTGTGAAAATTAATCTCCCTCACAAAAACTTGAAAGAACTCCAGGAGAAGAAGCTTTTAAGGCACAAGGCAATCAACACTTGCAAAAACGAGCTCTTGTTGTATTATTAATCAAAGAAATCTTGTTTACAAAGTTTAATAAAGCCTCCTTTATATAGGGGTTGAGTTCTAAAGGTCCTAAAGAACTAAAGAATAAAATAATAATAAACTAAACATGTCTTAACTCTAATTCCTATTAAAATAATAATAACTAAAAATATTCTTTTAACCCAACCTTAATTCCTAATAAAATGATAAATCTGACCCTAAGAGATAATTCATCATCCTATATTAAATTATATTACAAATAATCAATATAAATATTGAAAATTCGTTATATTTACAAAATCACGTATTAATCACGTATAGGATTTCCTGCATGCACCGTCTTTAGTAAAATGGCCATTTCTTGAGTTCCAGATATCAGATTGATGCGATTACAGAACCGTTGGAAATATAAGAGAAACAGATTGTATATCCAGAAGGCATGTTTACCAAGTAAGATCAGGATCTCATTCAAAAAGTCATCGTAAGTCTGTTGTTGTTCTGGTCTTCTTTTCTAAGGCTTGGACGAGTGGATCATTTGGAAGAGTTATTACTTCTTCCTTTGATGTGAGCCCTGTGATGCATGTATCATCCTCCTTTTATTCAAAAAGATTCAACCTTGAATCTGAAACATTAAAGGGAGCAACATTAGAATAGTTTAATAATTCATTCACGTTATGCTTACCGAATAGATATGCTTTGAATCTTCGAGACTTTGTTCTTCTAATAGGTTCGAGTAGAAACATTAGTCCAAAGAAGCATGTATTATGGACTACTGTGCATGTATCATTCCCCCACTCCTCAAAAGGATTCATCCTCGAATCTGAAAATCCAAAAGAAAAAGAATTAGATGTGTTGAAAGAAAAACTTGTGAAACATTTACGAAGATCAATGTGATGTGTCTTTATGCGTTTTAATTTAGGTTTCTTCTTTGTAGGGACTGATTTCTTGTAGTCTTGAAATCCTGTTTTATATACATGTCTTGTAATCTGATGTTTAGGTTGAAATTCAACATGGCACCGACCACTGTTGGCTTTCTGTATGATTGCTTCAGATAATTTCTCCATGGTTTTATTCGTGTGTGGCAAGAATGAGTGTTTAAAAACCATGTCAACTGGTGTGTTCAAGTAATCCCTTAAGTCTCCTAAGTGTGGTTCATAAATTAAGAATTCTCAGGATGAGATTTGTGGATTGTAGAACCTGTTTAGTTGGCAAGGAAACTCATATACAAGATAAAGCTCATTAAAAGCACTTTTAAAATTATGGACAAAAATATCAAAAGTATTCGAGTTATCGTGATATACATCTTTGTTATGTTTAATTCTCAGAATAGTAGTATGCTTAAGAGTATACCTTTGTAGTAAAGCATCATCTACTATGTTTTGCTTACCTCGGTCTGTTACGCACTTAAAGGAGTTGTGTTTGGTATGAATGACAACATCAAGAGTCTTACCTTGTAAAAAGGAGAAGAAGTACGTTACAATATCATTAAAATGAGTAATAAAATACTTACCTTTAAACTCTCGTAAATCATGTCTCTTTATTGATATGACATAGTGATTAGGGCTTTCAGGTGGTAACCCGTCAAGAGGGCCACCTAGCACTATTCGACACCTCTTGGCAATGGAAGATGGTGTGGGCCAATATCGTGTTGCTTTTACTTTCTCATCATTTACATGGATTCCCTGTGCACGAAATATAAACCATGTGGAGTTGTTCAAGTCATGTTTCATCATTAAGATGGCGTCACGACTAAGACTTTCCTGGATGTAGCCTTTTCGTAACAAATCTAATGATGTAAGGCTATCCAAGCTTCTTCAATGATAGAGAAGTTGGCATCTTTGTTGTTTCCCAATCTATGGGAGACACCAAATGCTACCCTTGAATATATAAGTAATTTACACCAAATAAAGAAAGCAATTATTAAGGGATTGATAATTAAGAATGGAAATGAAAATGGAAAGAAATGATAGTGATAGAAATGTTATCAAATGTTAGCTGCGGAAGTGTTGTTGAATAGTCCTTCAAACGAAATAGGATTCGGCCTCCAATGGTGATGATAGACGCTTGCCTTAATGAAGATTGAAGGAGGGTTTTATGATGATGGAATGGTGATGGAAGTGAAGATGCTGTACGCGTGAAGTAATGAAAGATGATGGTAGTTTAGATAGTATCTTATAAGACTAAGAATGAACCAATACTATAGATGAGTAGACCTGATTCTTATAAGTCGTTATAAGGGATGGTAGCATAGATTTGAACCTATTAGTTATAGGAACTAGGAACTCGAAGTATCTATGGAAGAAGTTGATGCCACAAACTTTAAAAGCTTGCTTAATCAATATAGTTCTAAAAAGAACTTGAAGAGAATAATCTCACAAAGATTTATATTATCAAAAGGGTTGAGTTTACAAATGAATGCCAAAGACTATTTATAGGCTTGTAAAGATTTGGCCGAATAATTATATGTCCATTCGGCTAGATACATTACTTTTAAATGGAAATACATGATGTTTAAATGAAGGGAGATGTCCTTGGCGGAATGGTCGCCTTGTGGTTTATCTTGGCGCCAATTTTGAAGCAACACCTTACTTTGGCCGAATAGGGAGAAGCCCCTTCACTTTGGCACCCAATTGTTCCACA